CTGTTATCTTATATACACATGCAAATCTACAAATATTAAAGCAGACAACAAATGATGTATTTGTTTACCAATAAAATATACGATAAAAGAAATCGTTGATCAAATTGAATTGAATGATCCAAATTTTGACAAAAGTGCAAATGCAAGATGAGGAGTTTTGGATGCTACAACATTTGCTTAATGAAAGGAAAAGAAAGCGACAAATGGCTCTAGATGATTTTATCGCCAACAAATAAAAAATATCAGAAAAGCCACGACCTTCAAAACAAAAATAAACTATTTCTATGTGCAAATGTTTGTGTTTTATAAAACATATTATAATGCAAATTACTATAAATACAACTTAAAATTTGTTTATTTTTGGTCGCGTCTATAACGCTGTTTCGTTTAGTGCTCTGCTTTCAGGAACGCATCTAATGCGCTATACGAGGTCTTATTGTTTTTTTTTAATATATATTGTTTATAATATTTTATATTTCCTAACCAATAAATTGTTATTGTAAATACAGTGGAACCTCGCTTAATGAGTTTAATCCTTTCCAAAATTTCCGGATTTTTACTCGTACAGTGAAACACGTTTTCCCATATAAACTAATATAAATTACGTTAATGCGTTTCATGCCGGAGAAAAAAAGTATAACTTGGTCTCGATTTTTCATGATTTTGCTTTTCATATCTATGGTTATTTTTATTTTTTAGCTTTCTATTCGAAGACATGCCAGTGTTAATAAATTTTATACAAAAAAATCACAAATAACATGTCTGAACACAAGTTTGGAAATGTGATCACAAACACTACGAACCGTTTTCCAATTCATACACATATTTGAGCGAGTTTATATTTGTTTATATTACTTTATCAATTCGGGGAATGGTGGAGCTCTCTTTATACTTTTAATATTTGTTTATATAAGAAAACGTACATAGTGTGTTTATATATTATAATAATGGTTGGACACAATACATTTGTGTTTTGCATTTACAGCACAAATTATATTTGCAAATTATAGTCCGCTTTAAACAAAGATGACAAAGATGACAAAGAAAATCGAAAACGGTTAATATATTAAAAAATACAAATAATATGTGTACACAAGTTTTAAATATGATGTAGCAGGTGCGCAATCCGTGACTTCTCTTCTCATCGTCACTCGTTATGCGAAACGTCGCTCGTTAAGCGAGTCATTTTTCTTAGAATTCATTTTGCTTTTTAAGCAACATGCTCGTTAAACGAGGTTCCACTCTACATTAATTATAATAAAAAACATAAAAATAATGGAAAATATTATTTCTTTCATATTTTAATATATCTTCAAATACAATTAAGTGATTCACCAAGAAACTAATGAAAAACATTGAAACAGTTCAGTGATTTTATTGAAAACGCCTCGATAAATCACCGACGCATTTATCTATATATCAAATTTATTTCACATATATATATATAAACAGTTAAAATAAAAACTTTTATCCTAATATTATATAAAAAGTGTAATATTTTACATATTTTGCATCTGTAATTTTAAATTTTTTTATAAGATTAAAAAAGTTTGTAAAATGTACAAAAGTAAAAGAAAATGCATAGATGCATTAGAAATAAATTACATTGCTAATATTTCACAATTTTAATGGTATATATTCAATACGACAACCGAAAGACCGTTTATTGAAATCCCGACGTTCGAAATCCCGACTGTATCGAAATCCCGACTATGTAAAAATCCCGACTACCATAATCCCGACAATCAAAATCCCGACTACTATAATACCGACAATCAACATCCCGACTACATCAAAATCCCAACTACCATAAAAATGATATGAAATTTATAATAATAAAAGACACTGTCGGGATTTCGATACAGTCGGGATTTCAATACACTCGGTATATCGAACGTCGAGATTTCGAAAGAAGGAATTTTGGTTGTCGGGATTGCGATTGCCACCGATTCAATACACCAATGTCTCGCTGTTTCGATCAGTCGGGATTCACAATAATCCGGATTGAAAAATTCAAAACAATCTAAATTTTAATTGAACAAAATAAAAAAAAAATATAATAGTAAAATTATACATTGATATTTGACGTCATCATCTTCTTTGATTATATTATTATTTAAGGTGACTGGTGGGAAAATTAATTTTTCAGGGTGAATATTACGTGGACTTCTTGCCATTAGGTTTTATTCGCCATTTTTTAAACCATTTTCCTATTTGGTTCAAGCAGTTTTGAAACTGTGAAGCTGCAACCACCGAGTCCATAATCGATGATAAAATTACGATATCATTAGCATAAGATGCAACTGTAGTTTGTGCAGTTGTTAGTCAATCAGACTTGTAAAAAATAGACGCGTATTTTAATGTCTGCATTTCTTTAAAGTTATTTTAAATTTAAAAAAAAATGTAGTACTAATTGTAATATTGCGATAATAAATTAATTAATGGAAAATGAAACAGGATTTGCAGCAATAATAATATTAAAAAAGAAATGCACCAAACAATATACAAAGGGCAATTAATCATGTTTTTTCTGATCAAGGTTCAGCATATAATTAGAATTTTCAATAAAGTATTTATAATTACTAGGAACATGTACAAATAAAATGAAAAATCAGTTTAATGAATACTACTAGACAAATTTAAAGAATCAATAATTAGCATATTATAAATACCAACGTATTTTCAAATAGTGTTACACATTATAAAATACACAGAACTAGTTTTAGGATTATTATTTTTTTTGCCTGTTAGAACTAACTTCCAATTACTTCAAATTTAAATATTAATAAGAATGATGATTTATAATTATGAGTGATAAATTTGTATAAAATATTCAATTTTATCTGAAATCTTGTAGATAATTTTATTTTTTTAGGAAAGAAAGATATTACAATAATATTCATATTTATTACATACATATTGTAAATAGAAGCGGAAAGACTGCTGTCAATAAATATCCCTTTGCATATATACAATAAATTATTATTATTGTAAGTATAAATTGTTAATATAAAAAGTATAAAAGTTAATGTTATAGATTTTTTATTGCAGAAAGAGAATGGTTAATAGCTTTATAGATAACATAAAAACGTACACTTGATTAAAGTTGATACGTTTTTAAATACAGTGGAACCTCGCTTAACGAGCACCTAGCAAATCGAGCATTTCGCTTAATGAGCAAAATAAATTATAAGAAAAATGACTCCAAAATGGAATGCATATTACATTAGTTTTTATGGGGAAAATTGTTTCACTGTACGAGTAAAAATCCGGAAATTTTGGAACGTATTATCCTCGTTACGCGAGGTTCCACTGTATGTCAAAAAGTGTGTAACTTTTTTAGAACTAAGTTAAGGTTTCTTGTTCGAGGTTTTACATTTAATCAATTACAGTGAATCAATATGAAATACAGTGAAACCTTGATTAACGAGCACCTCTCAAAACAAGTAAATCGCATAACGAACGAAACAAATTATTCAAAAAAATGACTCGCTTAACGAACGACGTTTCGCATAACGAATCACGAGGAAATGGGAAGTTTCAAATTGTGCACCTGTTACATCATTTTCCAAACTTCTACTTGTATTCAGACATACTATGTCTGATTTTTTTGTGCAAAATTTAACAACCCTTGCAAAAATGTCCTCCAAGAAGGGAATAAAAAAAGAGAAGAAATGGTATTTTTTTGGCATGGAACGCATTTACATTAATTTATATAGGAAAAATTGTTCCGCTTAACGTGTATTTCGCATTACGAGTAAGATTCTGGAACGAATTATGTTCGTTATGCGATGTTCCACTGTACTTATTATAAAATTTCTGAAAATCAAAGCGAACATTTTGTTAATATAATTTAAAAATACAAATATTTAATGTTTTTTTTATACGAAAATTTAGTTTTTTTTACTATTTGTTTGGAAAGCTCTAGTGTTAGACTCATTGTGTTCCCTTTGCTGTATGATTTGCTTTTTCACAATCCCGCATCATTTGAAATTATTAGCAAAGAAATAAAAAATATGTTTACAGTGGAACCTCTTTTAACGAGCACCTCGCATAACGAGCATTTAGTTTAACAAGCAAAATGAATTGTAAGAAAAATGACTCGCTTAACGAGCGACGTTTCGCATAACGTGTGTCGATGAGAAGAGAAGTCCTGGATTGCGCACCTGCTACATCACATATTATGTGTATTTTTTAATATATTTCAATATACAAGTAAATATCCGGTTATTTTGAAACCGATTAAATCCATGTTTATTTTATACAGTGGAACCTGGCTTTTCCACTGTATAAAATAAACACATTTTTCAATGTTTCCAAGCATAATTCGTTGCATAATATACGTACTCGTATTCCAAAACACTCGTATATCGTTTATTATCTTTCACAATTTGGAAATGATTTTTCATCAAATTAAATTTTCTTTTGCATGTGTTGCAAAATACTCGCAGATCAAGTTACTCAATCAAAGGTACCAATACTATATATTTCTTAATCTAAATAAATTTAAATTTTTTAACCAATTCTATAACATTATACAACATATTTATACAAAAAAAATAAATGAAATACTAGTTATATAATAAGTAAAAAAATATATTTTTTAAATCAGTTACTAAAAATTGTATAAAGAAAAAAACATAACAAAAATGAAAACAGGTTTGACGACTAATTAGGTTTTTCAATGACCACGCATGGTATTCGTATGGGCACTTCTGCATATTAATACCGTCCGGATGGACTTCAATTAAATCGACTCCAATTCCTCTCGTCCACGAAGTTCCTTCGTGCTCATATGCGTTTGAATTAAACACTTATTATTTATTTTTTTTCTTCTCATCTTCCTGCCGACGATAAATAACTTTTTAGGATGGAAATACTTTTTTATGGTTGGTACTCGAATGGCAGTACCAATGGGTGCCGAACTGAGGCGAAAGTCCTCGACGGCAGGACCCCCCTTGCACCTTCAACGCCATTACGAGTTCAGTTCAGCGCGAGACTTCCTCATAAACGCGTCGGCGGTGTTCCCTGTCGACCAACAACAACATAAAAAAAACACAAGGATAGAACAAACAATTAAATAAGAAGTGAAGAATTATTTGAACCAGAAACTAAACAGTATTTGTAATAAAAAAAAATAATACAAGGAAAATAATTGAAACTTTAATTACGGAACTGAAGATGTGAACTACTGTGATTTTGTTGTTTCTGTTTTTTGTTAGAAACAAGTGCAATAATTGTGAGTGTAGGGAGGAAGATTAGTAATAAAAACAAAACAAAAAAGGTGTACGTATTGTCCATATATATTTTTTGTTTTGTTTTGATCGAAGTGCGCGTAATTAAAACGTGCAAGTGAACATCAAACAAGCAACCCTTCCGAAAAGTTTGTTTTTTTTTTGCATTCTGCACGGCGATCGTTCTCATTGGGATTATCGCTTTGGGAAAGTGCAGCGAGACCAACAAAGAAGGACGCACTCGAGACATCATCCAGACCACCGGTAACTATCATTTGATTCATCCGTCCTGACTCTTCTTCAATTGTTTCAGTTTCCTTTTGTTTCAATTATTTTTGTTGTTGTTTCTTTCCCCTTCATCTTTTGGAACAATTGATGCGAACCCTCGGCAATTTTCTCGAAAATTCCTCTAGTAATTGCATCGGATTTGTATTCAATTGCATGCGATTTATTATTCACCTCCCCAAGTAAAATCTCCATTTGCGATTGTGTAATGGCACCCCCCGCGCATTGTACGCTCAATTATAATGGAATATCTAACTTTATCCTGTTTATGTTCAACTGCGCTTTACCACTTTTGAATTAACCAAGAAATAAAAACGAGCTAAAAGTGATCACAGTTTAAATTTGTAATGTATTCTAGAAATATCACAGGATACAATTATGTTTTTTATTTGAAAAATTGTGGGAACGAGTTTTCTCCTTTGGAGCAATAATTCTATTCCTATTGTATGTATAATTTGAAACAGTTACAAGAAAGGAAAATCTGGACTAATGTTTACTATCGTTATGAAATATATCTGTATCGTCATTTATTATCATATATAAAACTTATTCTCATTTAATCTAACATGAAAGAATCATAAAGTTCAATATTTAATTTGAGGGAATTGTATAATAATTTATTACGCGTATCTGAAATGCTTATTTTCATATTTTGTTACTAGACAATATAGATTACGTAATATTTCTTTTTTATTGAGAAGTAAATAGAAATAAAACAAAAATAGATTATAATGCACTAAGACTATTTATTTGATTTGAAAACGTAAATATGACTAAAAGTTATTTTAAGAAAAGTCTTTTTGTAATCATTTAAACTTATAATGTTAGTGTATCAACAAAACAGTTAAGCAAAGTTAAATTGCTCTAGTCTAGAATGGACTAAGAATACCAGTCGCCTGTCCAAGTAGTTTCCGCGTTGCATCCGATTTAACTTTTGTAAGTTTTCAAATGTTAACAATAAATTATAAAATATTTTAGGTAATGTTATTTACGAGGCGGAAAGACACTTTTTATGTAATTTGATGTGTGTTAACTATAAATATTATTATTTTCCTAATGTTCATGCTAAACTAAGCAATTAGTTAAGCAATGTGTCATATGGACATTATTTTGTTGGGTGATAGTGAGGTGACCACTAACAAACTAGAATAAAATAAAATTGTAACTAGGACGATCTGATACAATAACAAGTCTTAACACATTTAGTTAGAAAAATGTGGTCAATCTCCTTATAGTAAGGACGATACAACTATTCTTGAACTTACACATAGCAGATAAATTATTCTACGAAATAATAAGTTTGTATATTGAAAGAAAACACTAAATTTTGAAGCGTAATTGAATATTTGAGTATTATTACATATTTTATACATCAAAAATACACATACTTTTAAACAGAAAGTTTTTTTTAAATATGTGTAATAATTTTTATTATTATTATTAATTAATAATTGTCTTCAGTTACTCATGTGTAATTGTAATAAACAAAAATGTTCTTATATAATGTATTGCTATTGTTTCCTTGTATTAATCATCCTGCAAATATGCGCACAATTGAATTGTAAATACGCATTGTGCGGTGTAGACAAATCAATATCTAAAATTAAAAAAAATAATTCTTGTAACTTTTTTTATTGTTTGAGACTTGCATTATAATTTAAATAAATAGTTAAGCAATGCGTTTTCAAATTTAAACTTGGATGGGCGATGACTAATAGAAAATTTAACTGAATCATAAGAAATAATACTACCGAGTGAAATATTTTATGTTTTTTTTTATGCAAGTAATGCAGTATGCAATAAATTATAGTTATTAAGTGGAAAAGGTAAGTTATTTATAATTTCCAAATGCAATTAGATATGAATTTAATGTTTTTTTTTTTAATATAATGAATTACAACTTATTTTATGTAGTTAAAGAAAATAATAACAAAATAAAAAAAACAAGTATTCTGAAAACAATTAAAAAAAATGAGTTAGTTAAAAAGTTATTTAGAAAATAAATAAAAACAAATTACTAATGAACCGTATCCAAGTTAGCTGAATTGCGCGGGGAACAGTTGTTTCCATTTGACAAATTAAGTGCTTAACGTAAATAATAAAGCTTTTTCCGTAATTCGTTTTGTTTGTTTCTTTGTGTGTTATTTATTTTTTTTATATGTTCGTCGAATTCTTTGATAAAAAAAATACCTAACCGAGAATCCGTAATGCTATACCTACATGTATGTTTTGTTTTTTTTTTTCAACTCGCTTTACAAGAAAACGTTGATGTATTTGTTCTATTCTTCCGATTAAAATGAAAATTTTGCTTGCATTTACTTTACTTGTCCATCTTCTAATGGATTCCTGGAAAATATACTATTGTTTCCATGGTAATCAATTATTGCTATTTTTTTTCCGCTGAATTATACAAACTGCAGTTTTTTTTTGCAACTAGTTTTTTGTGTGTGTTTTCATTGGTTATTATAATTATTAGTAGAAATATTTGTTGATTTTTTTTTACTGATAAAAAAAAGCGTTGATTAGAAGTGGTATTTAGTTTGGTTGTTAAATATCGTATTTTCCGGCGTGCGGCGCGGATCAATATAGGTCATCGACCTTTTACGTCCTTTGGCCCTCCGAAATTCGTATTATCAAATTTAAACTTCTTCATTTTCTATGGTTTTTACGTTTATAAATATACTTATTCTAACCCAAAAAAATGAAATTATGTCACCATAGAAATGAACATAATTTTTATGTCACAATTTTTCTTATATCATCAATTTCGAATTGCTTATATTTTATTTTTATTTAGTATTAATAGGATTATTTACACTTTTATAAGATGAAAACATTAGGACATAATTTTTTATGTATCAAATCTAAATTTATGTGTTTTTACAAATTAAATAATTTTGTTTTTGTATTTTTTTTTATTATGTCATAGTATAATTTACAATCTTATTCCTGCGAATATTAATGAAATCTAAGGGCGGTAGACATTTGTTAAACTTTCCAATGGAAGTTTTTACCATTCTATTCTTCTGTAATTTGTTGGTTGCCGTCTTGTAGGTTAACTGTAGTAGTATATTGATGCTCTGTGATTCCACTATTCCCTTTGTCTGTGTACCTGCTCTTAACACTGCTGTTGTCCATCGACTTGGCTGAAGGTCTATATGGTGAACCTTTTTCATTTGACCATTCGTGATTTACGAAGGCCCTATTGCAAGCACCGAGAAAGCTCACAAAGGGCCTAGCTTGACCAGGATTCGAACCGGCGCCCACGGAATCGCTTTTACCAAATAAAATCTAAATTTAATTATTTCCTAAAATACCAACATGAACACAAAATAATATATAAAATGTCACATTTAATGTTATTGAAATCTTATTACCAAGATATTTAATTTTAATAAACTTTTTTTGTCATTTGTTTTTAAATAGATAATGGTGGATGATCAAAAAAATTTGCATAGGGAAACAATAGTTATTGGCTGCAATGTGTGCCAAACGGCTATTGACCAAGGTCATTTTGCCCAAAATAATCGATGATAATATAACCCTATTTTATGTATATTCACCAGTATTTTATTTCACATTTATATATATTTTTTTTATATACCAAAAATACGCTAATGGCATTTTTCGTGTGCACACAAAGTCCATTAGTGCAACATTTATAATATTCATTTAAATTACTAATAGCAAAGTAATAAAATGGTATCAGGCGAATTACCATATTTTGTTTTTAACAACCACTTTGTTTCCAGGAAATATCTATTAATAAATTAACAAAATATTTAATTTTATTGCTTGTGACTATAAAATGTATTTATTTTAATTAATTGCTAAAAGTCGATAATATAATTGTATTTACAAGAATTTCCAAATTAATGTGAAGGATTTTGAGTTTTTAATTTGATGATAATTACAATTGTTCCGGTTTTTATAAGTATGTTCAGTTTTACTATGATCTATTTTACATTTCTCGTTGGCGCATTGCAAATGAGAGAAATACTGCGTTGCCAATTTGCGCTATTGTTTTCAAGGCAGTTCTGCTGACTGAAACGTCGAAAGTTTCATTTTACGACACTTTTTTTCTGGAATTTGTTTTAAAATGGGTGTTTTTTTGTACTATTTGTACTCTTGTTATTATAAAAGTTATTTATTTTAATTAATTGCGAAAAGTCGATATTATAATTGTATTTACAAGAATTTTCAAATTAATGTTAAGGAATTTAGAGTTTTTCATTTGATGATAATTACAATTGTTCCGGTTTATATAAGTATGTTCAATTTTACTATGATCTATTTTACGACTTTTCTCGTTGGCGCATTGCAAATGAGAGAAATACTGCGTTGCCAATTTACGCTATTGTTTACAAGACGTTCTGCTGACGGCAACGTCGAAAGTTTCATTTTACGACACTTTTCTGGACTCTCGTAAAATGGGTGTTTTTTTGTACTATTTGTACTCTTGTGATTATAAAAGTTATTTATTTTAATTAATTGCGAAAAGTCGATAATATAATTGTATTTACAAGAATTTTCAAATTAATGGAATAAAAGGAATTTAGAGTTTTTAATTTGATGATAATTACAATTGTTTCGGTTTATAGTTTTTTATTCAGTTTTAAAGTCCTCAATTAGTCCGGTTTCAAACAGTGCGAAATATTGCCGTATTATAGAAGCATTTGATGTATTTTTATGATTGATATTGAATATAGATTATTATTATTTTATTTATATTACAATAATATATTAATTATTTGCATACTACTTAATTAATCAATTCGGTGAAAAACAATTTTATTAAAGAAATTAAATTCCAAAGTACAAAGTGCAAATATTGATTTTTGTAGAAATAATATTTATAAACTTGTTCCAAAACAAATCTCTTAAAAAAATGACACTTATTCGATGAAAAAATGTTGTTTTTTATCAAATAAGTGTCATTTTTATCTTTTAGTATCTTTAGTATACACACCAATACAGTA